TCATGATTAATTGAGCATTATGTTTTATAGAACAATTAAGAGTGTTGATCTTTTTTTTTTCATTTTCTACCGTAATCAGTCAATTGAGAGGAATAAAAATATTTTTATTAGAAGAAAATGGATGAATGATCAATGCTTAGGATTTATTAGAGATCTTACCTCCCAGAGCAGGTCAGGTGGAGCACCAAACCATAATTCGAACCTCTCCTGTAATTCAAACAAGATCATCATAAGCTACCACAATATTAACGAGCCTTTGTTTAAATTTGCGACCACTAAGGTAGGCAAGGAATTTTCGACCGACAAGGGGCTCATGGAGACGGGAACTGTTGCCAATGCCACTACTAGAAAAACCACTAGAAAAATCATTTTTCCAGGCGATGACATTTCTTTTTCCAGGCGGGTAGACATCTCGGAGCTAAATGGCCGCCTACGAAAATAACAACCGTGGGCGAGATCGTTGTTCGTCTACAGAAAGTTTATAAGTTATAAAAATCACCACCTACACCCCTTCCCTCACTCACCTCACCCCCATTCCTGCACCCCCATGATCCCCCATCACCCTCCCCTCCCTCCCTCTCTCCCTCCCTCCCTCCCAGTCCCGACCGGAGGAGGGGAGGGCGGCGGCGGTATGGCGTGGAGGTGGGGCGGAGGCGGCTCCCCCTCTCTCCCTCCCCGCTCCTAGATCTAGACGGAAGAGGGGGAGCAACGTTAACGGCGGCGGTGGAGGAAGCGATAGTGGAGGCCACTCCTTCCTTCCCCGGTCGTAGATCCGGCCGGACGAGGGGGGTGACGGCGGCGGCGCGTGATGGTGGCGGTGCGGAGGTGGCTCCCCTCCCCTCCCTCTCCCAGATCCGGCTGGAGTAAGGAGATGGGAGGGTGGTGGCGGCGACAGAGACCTCCCCTCACATATCTGGCTAGAGGAAGGGGAGCGATGGCAGAGGCGGCACAGAGACAGTCAGCGACGGTGGAGACCTCCCTCCCTCCCATATCCGGCTGGAGGGGGGAGGGTGGTAGCGGCGGCGGTGTGGCCCTCCTCTCCCTCTGGCCGGATCTTTCGCTGCATGCAGTTGCAGAGGATGCCGCCGGCAGCACGGCACTGCGTTGCGACGACGATGACGTTGTTTTTGTTAGTAGTTTTCATTGATTGATGTTAATTTGCAAGTTGATGTTATAGATTTGAATCCAATGCTCTTGTGTTGATGTATGGATGTTTGTGATTGGATTTTATTTCCTGGATGAAGTTGTGTGAGAGTTTGTGATTTGTGATTTGAAACCCTAGGGAGGGGGAGAGGGAGGGGCGGGGCTGGCGAGGATTTTTTTTTTGGCGCCGAGATTATTTTCGCAGGCAGGGATACTGTAGCGCCTGAGAAGATTGGAATTGCCGCCTATGAAAATCATTTTCGTAGGTGCCTATAAAAAATGGGGATTTTTACATGCCTGAATTTGGCCGCCTATGAAAACGTGTTTTTTAAAAAAAGGCCGCATAAAAAATATTTTTGCTATGCTACTCTCTGCTAGCACCAGAGGACTCCATCATACTACCATGCATACGACTGGCTGCAAGTGTTGTTGCTTCATTGCTAGGCGGATACAGGCATGGTCTTAAAAATAACTCATGTACAACAAAATGCTATATATATGCCATCATATTTTTTATAAAAAAATAGTCAACATAACAGCATTTATTTATATTGTAAATCCCCAAATTATATATATGCAATTACACTGCAAGTTTTAAAATTATATATATATAAGTTGATGTAAGTAGATGACCATATACGGTTCAAAACAAGACCGTTCACACCTTAACAGGCCCATCAACGATGATGGTTTGTAATCCTCTTCATCGTGTACCATCTTCGTAGCCCATAAGACCTAACCTATTTTTTACTTATTTCTTCAATTCTATATCAGCTCACTGGTGAACTACCGTATATGCGGTGGCGGTGGAGCCACTGACATTGTTAAGCCTGGTGAATGAAATGACTTTTACTAGCGACCTATAATTCTTTTTGGGCATTTTAGGCTCCTAACCATGGCACACACCAACTTACATAGACCCGACCACACAGGTACCATCGTCGCCACCTTGTTCCAATGTCCTATCTCTGCCACAACTTCCTGCACGCCTCCAAATGGTTGCCCTTTTGTCCATGTTCTACAAATAGTCTAAGGTTAGGGTTCAAAATTAGAAGAGATAGTCTTTATATGGATAGAAGTTGTCAGCTGTCTATGTAACATTTGCAAGAAAACCCTTCATCATGTTGGTAACTTTTAGATGGCCCAAATCACGCTAAGGTTTGTGCACAACTTATCTCCTCCCATCTCCCATCTCTTTTTCCCCTACCCAACCCTAATGCTAGGTCTTTTCTTCGTCCCAACCCTGACAATACTAGATCTAGAGGATGTGTGCTGCCTCACCAAGTGCCGCCACCTCCCCTGCTCCAACGTGCTACCAGAAGGCGCTAATGACTCTCGTGAGGCTCCGTTGGCCGTCCACCTCTCCTCGTCTCCATGTCGAGCAGTGGCAAGATGCTTCCATCCCGTCGTCACTACTGCCTCTTAATCACTCCAGATCTAGTGCCCCCGCCTCCACCGATGGTCCCACTGCCCTACTCCAACCCGCGGCTTCAGAGGAGCCATTGCCGCCTCCCAACCCACATGTGTCCATTGCCCAGTACTGGTTCGACTACCACCCGCAGCCATCCCTCTAAGTCTAGGGAACCCCTCTCTTCCCCCCTAATTGGTTGGAGTGATCATCGCCACCGTCATCAGAGTTCATTAATGTCATTAGAGTTGGAGGAGAAGCTCACTGGAGTACGAATCGCGAAGTGGATCCGTTGGTCCAAAATCTGTATGAGATTTCGGCTTCGGAATGAAGGTTAGAAATGCTGAATAAAAATATTGCTTTCAATTACTACTAGAAAAAGCATTTTTCCCAACGTAGGGGTCTCATTTTCGCAGGCGGACATGACTCTTAAAGCCAAATGACCGCCTACAAAAATATAAATCGGGGTGAAATGGTCGGTCCGCCTGCGAAAATCTATTTTCGCAGGCGGACCACTTAAGCGGCGCCTGCGAAAATGATTTTCGCAGGCGCCGCTTAAGTGGTCCGCTTGCGAAAATAGACTTCAATATAAATAGACTTGGGGAAGGGTTGATTTTTTCTATGTCTCCAGTCTCCACCCACGGCCGGCCTCTCTCCCCACACCTCACGCCTCCTCCTCTCCCCTCACACCGCCTCCTCTCCCCTCCCCTCACCCCTCCTCCTCTCCCCGGCCACTGAAGGAGGAGCGACGGTGGCCACGGCGCGGGGTGGCGCGGAAGGCGGCGGGGCGGCGCGGCGTCCAGCTGGCGGCGCGGCGTACAGAGGAGGGAGGGGGGAGGCCGGCGAGGGCGGCGGCGGCGGCGACGACGACGACGCGCGGGGCGGCGGCGGCGGCGACGACGACGCACGGGGCCGCGGCGGCGGCTCCCCTCCCCCCTTCCTCCCAGATCTGGCCGGAGGAGGGAGGGGGGAGGCCGGCAGCGGCGAATACGGCGCGGGGCGGCAGCGGCGGCGACGACGACAGGTCGGGGTGGCGGCGACGACGACGTGCGGGGCGGCGGCGGCGGCTCCCCTCCCCCCTCCCAGATCCGGCCGGAGGAGGGAGGGGGAGGCCGGCGGCGGCGACGACGACGACGGCGCGGGGCGGCAGCAACGACGACTTCGGCGCGGGGCGGCAGCTCCCCTCCCCTCCCCTCCCAGATCCGGGCAGCGGCGGTGAGGCGCGTGGCGGCGTCGGCGAGCCGCCGCCGTGATTTTTTTTGTTTGTTTCATGGATTTTCGCAGGCGTGCTGTTGCCCCAACTGTGAAAATCGTTGATTTTCACCGTCGTTGTGCTACAAGCGGTCCAACCCTCCGCCTGCAAAAATCACTTTTGTCTGTCTGCGAAAATACTTTTTCTAGTAGTGCAATCTTCGTACTGAGAACTAACCAGGCCATCTTTTTTCACTGTTGTATTCCTTCCCGGTCTAGCTGTGTTCCTTTTTGTAGTTTTGCTGTTCCTTCCTTGACATGTTCATGGACTTCTACAGTTTTACCAGATAGATAAATTCTCAGCCGTCAATCCCATTTTTTGTCGACCTATCGTTTAGGCACGCAAGAAACCTCAAGCATATATATATACAACTCCATGCTTAAAAAATAACTTAACCCAAAAGGCAACTTTATGAGATTAGAGCTAGCAGATACAAGGAAGCTTTTACACCGTCATCTCATATTCTTTACAAGCATATATACAAGGAAGCTTTTCCCATTCTCTTTAGAAAGGCACTATGTACAGTACCCCTGAAGATAAAAGCAGAAGGTAGTAGATGATGATGATATCGATTAATCAATCCCATTTACCGCTTTGGATCTCAAGCTTAATTCCCATGATTAACAACTGAGATCTCGACAGCTTAAATGTTAATTTGTCCAGTTTGGCAACAGCTAGCTTTCAGCCCAACGGCATGGTGAAGATCAGGATACATATATACATGGAAAGTTGAATTTACACATAATTAAGATGCGTATTACTGCGTAGGTAATTAAGCATGGCGACATTTCAGGGGTTTATATTTGGTGTGAGATAATAGTGATCATCAAGATATGCATGCGACAGTCTGACAGATGATGAGAAATGTGAGGATATGCATTCATACGTGTCGAAACTCAAATGGAAGTATTTTAAATGATTGATTTGTAACTGACCTACATTCCAAAATATTCAAGAAATTCTAACTAAGAAGTATAAAACACGATTAAGATAAGTATTACTAAAAACCAAACACTGACAGATATGATGACCATGCTTTTGTTCCATATTTTAATTAGTCTACTTTCAAAAACATTCCTTCATTTTGTCTAACAAAGTACCAAGTACTAACTCTTTCTTCCACACTGTCACTGACATCCAAAGTCAAACTCAATATTTCACAATAAAAAAAATAACGAAGGAATTGCATTCTGATACTTCATGCAAAAAAGATAGATTTTGATCAGTTCCATACGAAGGAACAATGGAACAACAAAGATATAGAACCCCTAATTTTCCAATGGGGAAATGAAGGCAGCATACATGAATGCATATAGAAAGAATCGAACATACCCCAATCAAGCCTTGCACTACATCACATCTACGACCAACCAATTTGCAAGGGGCTTAGCTCTAATCATCATCTGACCATATGCATACATGAATGAATAAACTAAACAACAATTAGACGACGAAATTAAGAATTTAGCTTTTCTCTAACAACACGAGATCAGATTAAGGCTGCAATAATCTCAAGAACTGGAAACCCTAGTGAGACCTAGAGCTTGAGAGTCAGGTCTATCTTGCTGCTTGACATCTCCTCCTGCGCCTTCACTTCCGCCGCTGTGTGTTGCTCGCCGGCGGCGGCGGCGGCGGCGGCGCTATGGATGGTGCCGCTGCCGCCGCCTTCGGCCCACCGGAGCCCGGCGGAGGCAGGGGCGCCTGTGGCCCTGGACGACGACGAGCCGGCGCCGTAGCCGAAGGCGTCGGCCGGGTACACAGGGCGTTCGGCGGCGGCGTGACGGGCGGCGATCCCCTGCAGGGAGGATGGCGGCTGGGTGCTCCACCCGTGGTGCACCGCGCCGTAGAACGGCGCCGCTGGCGCCGCTGCCGCCGCCGCCGCGGAGGCGGAGCCGCGGCCGAGGAACGGCGTTGTCCTGGCGGCGCCGGCGGCGGCGGGGTAGGGCCAGAGTGAGCGGAAGCGGAGGTGGTGCGGCACGAACGGGTCCCCGAACCCGTACAGGCCGCGCCCGGCGGCCGCCGCCGCGGCCGCCACGGCGGCGCCGCGCTTGGCGAGGGAGCGCTCCCGCTTGTGCGCGTTCTGGTGCCCCCCCAGCGCCTGCGACGTGTAGAACTTGCGCTGGCAGTAGTTGCACTTGAACAGCCGGCGCCTCGCCTCGCCGCCGCCGCCGCCACCGTTCGCCGCCGCCGCCGCCACAGCAGAAGCCCTCTCCTCCACGGACGGCGCCACCGCCTCGCCCACCATCACGACGGCGGCCTTCCCTTTCTCCGCCGGCATGACCTCCTCCGCTCGCAGCGCGCCAAGAAGATCGAGCTCCATCGCCGCCGCCGCCGCCGCCACCTCCTCCTCCTTCTTGGCCACCACCTCGCCTTCCTCCCCATCACCACCACCACCACCACTCCCCTCAACCTTCATCGCCACCTCCATGGACACGGTGGTCTGCGAGCTGGAAGCCATGGAGCTAGCAAAACACAGCACAAGACAACACTAATTTGGCTTTAAAATTTTTGCTGGCACGAGATCGAGTGAGATCGAGAGAATACGCGTTCTTGGGATGAATCGGATCCCTACTTATACAAGGGGATTGGAGGGGTTAAACGCGGAGATGATCTGAGAGGAATGGAAGCAAAGTTGCCAAATGAAACAAGATATGGCGTGATCACAGGAGGCAGGCGTTTAATGTAGCAGAGAGAGAGAGAGAGATGAGATATGCTCCATATCATAGCCCCTTAATTCGCATGCATTAATCTTCTTCTCTTCTTGTGATGATCGATCGATCGATCAGTCAGTACTCCATCTTAGCCAACGATATTTCTCTGTCCATCCACTCCATTTGGTTCCCTTTCTCACTAGTGTAGTGCAAATCTTTGTCTCTATCTCTCTATCCTTACTGCCACTAAAACACAGAGCAACAGGGGAACGGTTTCCTAACTTGGACAGATATGGGTGTGTATGTATGGAGTTTTTGAACTGGAGGGATGCCTTGACGTTAGTTCAAGATGTGATAGGATGTGATATGTATGCACTTAAGTTGTGATATGTATTGCACTCTGGCAGTAGAAATTAATTTAATGCCAACTTGGCAGAATGTGAACATGGCATGACGTAAGGGCATGAAGAAATGGTGTGACGTCAGTAAGTCACAAGATATTTTGTTTTAAAATGTTGACATGAAAAGATTATATGGACAGCCTAAATTAGGTAAATACCCTGTGAGAACTGGTATATACCCTATATGAACTGCTACATGCTTACTCCCCCTGTTTAAAATTATAAAGCATCTCCTTATTTTCCAAAAAAATCAACATTTAAATTTTTTATTAGTAATTAATTGAACCAAAAATGCATGTTTTTATAGTGCCACGTAATATCACAAAATTGTATTAACAAATATTTTATACGATCTTAAATCTGTAGTTGTTGGTCAAAGTATAATACAAAGGTATCATCCAAATATTCCATGACAACGCAGGGTTAATGTAGATTATGCAGTAGGAGCTTAATTTTAGGGATTTCCAATTAACTTGTCTTCAATTATTTCGATTTGCCACTTCATCTAGAGTTCTAGAATTAAATTTCCATTCCTCTTATGGCTTCATCTTCAGAATGTTTTGTCAACCTCAATCAATTTACCGTTACACACCACTCTAGTGCTATAAAAACGAAACATCGACAGTATGGTGACACTATCATATATATCGAAAAAGTCCAAATAACCCCCACCCCCTAGACTATGACAGAAGTCCATCTAACGCACTATAGTTTGAAACCGGACATTCAACCCCCTAAACTGTGCATACCATTCATATATATATATATGCCCCCCTAAGGTGGTTTTACAAATTGGTTTTTATTTAATTTGCATATACGTTGGTGGAGCTTTGATAATGTGACATACACATTGAAAATATATGTTAAATTTTCACTTAAATCTTTGTTTTTACCCCTTGTTCGCTCTTACATACAAGAAAAGTACCGACGTAACAATTAATAGTACGACATCACTGTACATGATAAATTGAGCTACAATTGGTGGTACGTAAATATATTATATTAGTTGTTTAAAGCCATGTGTTTAACATCCCAAATACGCAAAACCATTATCCAAAACCATCTTAGGGGGGAATATAAAATGTATTGTAAAGTTTGGGAGATTGGATGTATGTCTGGTTTTAAATTTAAGGTTCCAAATGACTTCCATCTAAAGTGTAGGGCGATATTTAGACTTGTCCGTCCATATATTTTAATTACTTAAAACTGGCATATGAGGCATTTATCATTCATATATATGCCTAGTCCAGAGTTTAAAACCAACACATATGAATCCATATATATGAGCTGATTTTAAACAACATTGTATCTATATATGATGTTTGCAATCTTATATGTGCCGCCGGTTTTAAACAACATTTTATCTATATATGATGTTGGCAATCTTATATGTGCCGGTGGTTGTTAGAACCGACATATAATAGAAAGGCTACCGCAAAAATCAATCACCACCATATATTTGCACTAATTAGTTTCTTTTCTGGTTCCAGCTTACAATGACGACATGAGTACAATGGTCTGTGCGTGTTGCGTCTTATGTATAATTGTAAAGAATACATTAGAATTTGTAATAAAGGGCAATAAATTATGTTTTGTAAATAATGAAGAGTAAATACCGGTTTGTTTTCCCGATAATGGACATTTGTCCTGTAATTTTTTTCGTGAAGCTAGATTTTAAAAGTATAGTTATGTTATTTCTCATAAATAAAATTATACTTATAATCAACTATATATATTATTTTATAATTTCATCCCCTGAAAAGTTTTTTCCCCATTTTGTAGGGGGGTGACTACTATTCCGAAACTTTGAAGGACCTGACGATTGACGAGTTCAATAGTTCAAAGGTTAATCCCATCCCTAATTCCTCGACCCGTCTCCGTTGAGTTCTTGTAGATGGTTGTGAGGCTACCAAGCTATCCATATGAGTGGTCCAAGTTTGCATAGAATCCCTGGGGGTTCTATATATCTCGATCCATGTGTTCAAGAATTATCAGAAAATTTTGTTTAAAAGGTTTAAGGTAAAATGGTAAAGTATAAGCATAATTTTAAATTATGGATAGAGTATCAAATTTGGGACCGGAGTATCTTCATGCTCAAAAGGATGATGTCCTAGATTACGTATAGTTAAACCTCAGAATTTTAGATAATCAATAGATGCAAAAATATCAAGATTTAATATATTAATATGATATTGGTACATTTATCATGGGATTTTTATATCATATTTTGCAATACATATTTTATCACTATATGAAATTTTAAATTATATTAGTAAAGTGATCAATGTATTGCAAAGCTGACCAGCATGCAGTACATTCTTAACGGGTAATGAAAGAAAAAGATGGAATCTTTTTATGATACTAGAGAATACTATGTGCCTTGCTGCGGGATTTGTTAAATTTATCATGACAAAGATTGAAATTTAAAACTATCAGGTGAAAATGTTGCTTCATGGTTTATTAAGTATCCTTTCATAGAAAATGTATGAGAAAATTCCTTCCATTCCCCTAAAATTTTAGTAGATCCCTTCCATACCCTTAAATTTTCTTCACTCATTTGTTACCTCTGAATTTTAATTTGGATCCCTCTCATACCCTCACCGTTAATTAACCATTAGTTGACCATTTAATAGGTGTATAAAATTCAGTTTTACCCTTCAATTATGAATATAATAAAACTATACGTTTCCAACAATATAGCTACTATACAAGTTTTCATGTTTTTTTCACGTCTAAGGGTAAATGGTCCTTTTATAGGAATCAAACAGTCAACTAATGGTCAACTAATGGAATGGATATGAAAAGGGATCAAAACCAAAATTCAAGGATAGAGGGAGTGGACAGAACTCGAGGGTGTAGAAGGGATTGACTAAACTTTTAAGAGTATAGAAAGAATTTTCTCTAATAATTGTAGAACAAGCTGTGCACTGAAAGAAACAAGAATGATAAATGAAAGACAGAAGATGATAGGAAATGGAAACACAAGACAAGACGAGCTTTTTTTGAGGTATTGGAGATTCAGCAATCACCATTAATCTTCATTGGAGCACTCTATACAAGAGTACAAGAGTATAGCTCCCTTCCATACCACAAAGTCCATAGCCACTCTCATCATGGTGGATCTTTTCCACCCCGTAACCTTCACAAACATAACGGGTCTCCCACAAACTTCTTGAGAGATCATCGGATCACCTCCGAGATTGGCTAGGCACGCTGAGATACCAAGAATAATAGGAAGAAACCTTAACTTGAAGCCCTTAAGAACCATACTCTTGGTTTCACAGTGAACCACTCTCAACTCAACTAGAACTAAACTAATGAAGAAAATGATGAAAATTAACGCAATGATGCTCTTAGACTATCTCTTCAGTTGCTCAACTCAAATAGGTTTCAAAAGACATCAACAAGTCCATGGCAAGGGGTATTTATTACTGTTTGAAATAAACAAACCAAAATTGCAAGGGGTCGAACAATCTTGTACACCACCGGACTATCCCACCCTTTATATTTTTCCAACGGTAACTAGGCAAGTAGCCATTGGGTCATTAAGTGTTGGACAATCTGGCACCATCGAGATTGTTTGAAACTCTTTGTCTGGCATAGTGGTGGACAATCCACCGCGTTCAAAACCATTTCCCAAACCAGCTGGATGAACATGCGGCCAGATTGTCAGACACCCTATCGGATTGTCCAATTGTTGCCAGATCAACTTAGTCTCGGACACTCCGAGGGCTGTCGGACAATCAGGCTAGTTCAATTTCTACTATCCGATCAAGACATGACCATAGTTGGACAATGAACTAGCCGGACAACCACACTGAATTGTTCGATCAAGTTGCTCTAGCAACTTGCCCAGGGTTTTTACCCAATTGATCTAGTAAATTGATTTAAGTCACTAGCAACCTAGATCTAATGTCACCGCACATAGACTCTAGCACTTTTGAAGCTTCAAGCTACTCACTTTCAACCCCTCTTTATAGTACAATATTTAACCTAATTCTACCACAATCACCCCCAACTCCTTAAATGCATTTCCAATGTTCGAGTTGCATTATTTTGGTCTCGTCTTGACTGTTCTTTGAGGGTATACACAAAACACTCCCATTTGCATCACCGGAACCCTAGTCCTTTTTGCAACACTTAACAACAAGTTAGTTCTGATGATTATATTGTCATTAACTATCAAAACACCACATGGGGATCTAGATGCTTGCACTCCACTTCAAAAACCTAGCAATAGCAGGCGGCGATGAAGGTCACCCTTAGACCCAAACGCAAAGTTATCCACATTTCATCCTTAGAACTAAACCAGTTTTAGTAATTAAATACAATGGGAAGTTTTGTAGTTGAGCGAAAAAAATCAGACCAAGCGTAGAGGATTTCTTTTTTTATTGGAGTATTTGGTTTTGGTACATAAAAGTCATGTGTATATTTATATTAATACTTATCATTATAATATTATACTCCCTCCATTCACTTTTCATTGACATATTTAGGCAAAAAAAGTATTCAAGATTGTTCAACATATTTCTCTCAGCCACCTCATCAGTACCTTGGTTCGCATGCGAACGTCTCTTTGTTTTCTTTCATAGCCGCATGCAACGGGACTTTCTCACACATGCAATGCGAAGCTGCAGGAGTGGATAGGGATTGAACGTGGCTGTGGATTATGGAGGTTATGTTGCGACTGAACTAATATGGTGTTCATGAAGTTCGGCACTCTCCTTGGTCTTGCTGGCTTCCTATCTAGAGAAAATATGACAGTAAAAAATGAATGGAGGGAGTAAGTTTCTAGTTTTAACATAAATTAGTGGATAAATTTTTATGACGAAAATCATGCCAACATCTAGAGGGAGTACATGCTTGACCTAGAAGACATTTGCGCTCTCATGTTTGCACCTGAGAGCCACTTCTCTAACTAGATTGAGAATTTTCACCATGGCTAAAAGATTCAATTTAGAACTTAATATTGAGAAAACTTTCAACTACTAACAATATTTTA